GAATCCAAAGTGATCATACAATGTGAGGATATGAGATTTGCCAAAACCAGAAATGTCTTGTTGCCAACTCCTTCCAAGGTCAATTTGTAATTAATCAACCAATAAAAAAAAAGGTAACATTTCATGGAAAAGAATGGGAAAAGTACATCGACTGACAATTGGCTTCAATTTCACAAGGCAAATGAAAAGCCCGAAGAAGCTTTTACTAAATTTCCTATTCCCTCAATCTGCTTAAGTTGATATCAGCCACAAATGAAAGAAATTACAGTGATTTGAATACACATCCACAAAAATGGACAAGGATCTACTGAATACATCTAATCATCTCCCTATTTAATATTTTAAAATTTGGCTAGTTGTCCAAAAAAAGCTGGTAGCCTGGTAAAGTTGATCTTTACTTATAGAAGCTACTTCACATATATCTTAGTGAAGAGGAATAAGTAGTTACAACAGCAGATCTGCACATTTCCCCTCAATTCATGATATAGCAAAATACAGCACTATGGCAGTATAAAACTCCTTGATAATACTCATAATAGACTACTAAAAATTAAGAACCCACTCACATTGAATATGTCTTAAGCAGTGCCATAAACAATAGTCAACACATGCTGAAGTAACCTTTGAGACAATTCTTCACAATCCCAAGGATAATTTAGACAGAATTCTAAGATTACTCGCAAGAATGTTGGAATATGCCCATACTACCAAATATTCCAAAAGGCTCTACAAAAACCTCCCCTACTTCCCTAATTCCACATACTTTCCAGTATCTTATAAGTCTTGTTTAGTGGAATTGAGGTTCATATCATAACATCACAGTTGCATCAATATAAAAGTTAAATTATTGATACTTGATTAGGGAGATGCTTATAAGGAGATAACAGTGTTCACTCGTCTAGAGCAGGCTCGGACTAAACCTATGATGCTCAGTCTCAGAAATGGATTTCCAACTCGAGTGGGGATATGAAAACCAAGCGTGGAAATAATTTAATTTTTAAGCAGAGACATGGTTGAAGGTGCAAAAAATTCCAGATCTGGACACAGCTGCCAAATATAAATATTATACACTAATTTTCAGCTACAATCAATCCACTTCTTCATTTAAAGCTCAATTTGTTTTGGTGGAAAACATTTTCATGGAAAATGATTTTCCTTTGTCTGTTTTGTTATAGTTTGGAAAAAAAAAAATTCCCATAACTCCATAAGTGAAAAGTTACTTTCAAAAGAAAGAAAACCATTTTCCTTTTGTTAAGATGGTATGAAACGTATTCCTCTTCACTCCTCCTTTCTCTATTTTCTCTCCTCTATCCTTCCCTCTTTTTACTTCCATTCTTATTTTTCTTCAAAAGTTTTTTGATAAACAAAGGAAAACCTTTTCACAATCATGTTCCATTGTTTAGAAAATAATTTTCCATGAAAAATGTTTTCCATCAAAATAAACGGAGCCAAAATGAAAAAGTTGCTTATTAGAGAAAGAAAGTGCTTCACAACAGAAAATGCAGCCACAGCACCTTTTCTGCATAGAATTCTCTCATTGACTAACAACCATCACCCCCACCCACAACCAATGTGGCCAAGAAAGTGCTTCAAAGATGGTTAGCCATAAAAATGAAAAACTCCATTCCATTTCCATGCAAAATTATGGTCCAATTCCAACTGAAAGCAATTTATGATTTTTTTTTTCCCAGAACAAATCTTCTTGAATTGCCAAAACAAAGAGCGAGAGAATACCATGTCCTTTTTTTCCTTCTCAAGTCCAACCAATATCCCAAGTCAGAACCCAAGTAAAATTGTTTCACACAAGCATGACTAGGGTGATCGGTAAATTTAAATCATGTCTCTTAACTAGCATATCTACTTCTTGTCTAATAGGATACTTACAGTACAAGATCTGTGTATCTATGTTTAAAGGGGTGAACAGCCAACTCATAAAATAGATTAGCCAACACCCTATGTAGTTACCAGCTAAGAGAAGATAAAAAAAATAAAAGATCATCAAGAGAACATTGGACAAAGGAGACTACTAAAGGTAAAAATGATAACAGTGTCTTCAAGGGATGAGAAATCAAATGTGAACTCTACAGCTAATTAAAACCATCAAGCATGGCAAATTGACTGGATAAGGGAAAGGTCTGAAACCATCTAAAGCATTTACCAATCCAAATACAGTCAGTAGAGAGGTTTGGGGAACGTCAAAGCAGAACAGACTCGCTGAAATCCATCTAAGGATAAAACAAGTTCAAAGGCCAGCCAACTCTAGCATATATGAGTTTCACGCAGCGTAGGGTACATCATTCAAACTAATGCATTCATAAACAAACGTCTAAGGAAAAAGAAAATGAACACAATATTTCATCCCTGATTAAAACCTATCAATAATAACTCTGCAAAGTGAAAACTGAAGCAATAACAAAATGTTAAGATCAAGAACACAAAGGAGCATTAGCTCCATATTCCTCACAAAACCATTGCCCCGTTGATGAATAAAGTTTCAACAAACTCCATACAATCAAATTAAAGGGTGCAAAAAAATCGAGGAAACAAATTAAATGGTAGGGAGCAGGAGATACCATGTGAGGATACTTATCTTGGTCGACAACCCTAGTGTTCTCCAGCTTGATATTGAGATACTGATCAACGGAACGGAGGGTTCCCCTTATCGCGAGGTCATTCTTCAGTTCCACAACCACTTCACGCCCCACGATTTCCTTGAAATACGAAAAGAATAGCTGCCAACACCAAACATAAAGCATGGAGCTCAATAACATTCATTCAGCAATACATGTTGTTTCAAAAGTATTGAATTATGAATGAAAGTTACCATTTTCTACTGCTTCCTTGGAGCTCTGAATGTGATATCAATCTGTAACCAAATTACTTTGTAAGTTCATAAGAACAAAACCTAAATTGCTCGAAAAAATTGACAAGGTATTCATCCAAAAGACTCTTTTCACCTAAATTGCTCACATTAATTAAGATTATAGAAAAAAAAATATTGCATTTTCATAGTAAAGGGTTGTATAAACAAAAGCCTGCAACGAAATATGATTAGATTATCAAATAATAGTTCAATAATTCGAACCCTAAATTGAGTATAGTGACAATCAAATTAACGAAACCCTAGATTGTGAAATTAAAATTCGACGATTAAAGAAAAGTATCTTACCTCAGAAGGTGCTTCAATGGAGGAAAGAAAGCTCACAAGGCGCTTCAACGAAGAATTCAATGGAAGAGAGAGAAAAAGAGGGGTGCAGTGAAAAAACTAGTGAACGAAGGGGCAAAATTAAACGTTTGAGGGTTTTTCTTTTTAATTCACTTTTTTATTTTTTGGGGCTAGAAACAAGCCTCGATTCATGGCATGAACCAAGAGGAGTCAAAATGGGTCGCTGGGTCAATTTCAACTGAGTCTAGTTTAGGTGTCCCCCAATGCGTCATCTAAATAACCTATTAACTATTATTAAAACAAAATATTGCTGACGTTATTAACCCTCAAACTATCCTATCTACACTTTAAGTATATATAATCAATTAATCAAATTTTTCTCCTAAATTATAGTTTCACATACCTAATTAGTTTCGATTTTTTTTTTACTTTCCTTAAATGTAATTATTTTTATATCTAATTCTAATCTTCATATACAATGTAATGCAACAGAACATATATTACAAGAAAGATTAATTCTAACTGTGCATCGCACGGGAATAATCTAGTTGTATTTATATAACTCAAAATTTAAATTGGGTCACTTTTAAATTAGGTCGAGTCAACTCGATCAATATTAGCACCTCTATCTAAATTCTAAACCACTAGGTTATGAGCATGAGCCATGATGATTCTAGGAACTCTACTACAACACAATTAATTTAAAGAGTTTACAAAAGTATGTCTAATGCTAACTTGCTAAGTTTCTTATCTCAATATTTGTCGTTGGATTCAAATTGTTTTGAGTCATTTTAATCAACTATCTTGACGTTAAAAAAAAAAAAATCATAGTAAAACCTACTCCTCTCGTCCAAAGTCAAACCCACTTCTTATTTATATTACAATTGGACTAGCATTTATATGAAATACTACTTATGAGAGACATCCGAAATCCAATCATGCCTTTGATCCATTTAGTCAATTCAATAGAAAGTTATTTTAAAACCCATGAATAATAGTTCCTCCGAATATTTTTAGTTATCATGTTTTAACTTTGATACTCCATACAATACACATACTCCTCTTTAACATGGTTATTAGAGTCAAGATATTAATGGTCGAATTTGTACATCGAGAAACTTGATTAAAGAAGCGATTATACATGCCAACAAAATCTAAAAAAAAACACACACCATGGCATCGCTAAGCATATAAAGGATATATTTTTCTAACCCTTTTAATTAGCTTTAATGGCCAATCCACTGAATCATAAAGCTCCTCCACCTTAAAACTTTGTAATGGTGTGTATAAAGCTCTCTGTCCCCCTCCATGTTTCCTCACCCTCTCAAGAAACCAAAAGTGGTCACAATAAAAAGCACATTTATGCTAAAAGAACATAACACAAGATTGATGATCTTGTGGTGCTCTCCAGCAAAACACAACATTGGATGATTAGAATAAAGCCTCAAAATAGATGATTAGAATAAAGCCTCAAAATATAACACTTGCCCTCAACATGGTACAAATTTATACCTATTTGCTAATTCAAGTCCGAAACCATGAATAATTATGTTAGAGATGTGCAAAAAAAATTCAATCTCTTTTTTCTTTAAGAACTTCATTTGGCAAGGAAATGTATACCGCAATTTATAAGCAAAAATGATCTTCGAAATGGATTAATCATCCCCCCATTCAAGCAACAAACTAATATATGCAAAATTCTAAGTAAAGCACAATTTGAGAAGAGCTTGGTAAATGGGCAGCCAAAAGGAATGAATGTACCCCAATCGCGTTCGTTAGAGAAATTACAAAGGTTGATCCAATGACTATCATACATTAACATAAACCAAAGGAATCATCTTGCAAATTTATAAAATCTTCATAAATAAAGTATTAAGAACTAAATTTAACATAATCAAATATAGTATTACATGATCAACTTTATTATTCCAACACAATTCACCAATAGACTTGAATAAAAGAAGCAACAAACACAATCAACACCTAATAACAAACTAAATAACAACCACCAACACAATTAAGACTCTTAAATCACCAAAACCACAAACTTGACAAGCTACTAAACATCATCCCATCCACATAAAACAGCAGCAGCCTTCAACAAATGCATTCATCATTTACTTCCCACAATTGATTTATCATTAACATTGAAACACATTCGGGATTGTTTGAACGGGACAAGGGAGCTGCCATGGCTCAAGCAAACTATCAGGAATCTCGGGGATATCCATGGCGAAACCGCTAGCATCCTGCATAAACTGAAGCACGGAATTCAGAGACCTCAATCTATCAGTTAACTCCATCATCTGAGCTCTCAAAATGTTGTTTTCCGATTCAACAGCAATGTAATGCTGTGTAACAACATCCGTCTTCTGAGCAATCTCAGAATTCTGAGATTTTAGCTGATTCACTTCTTTTAATAGCTCATCCAAATGCTGCTGCTTCTTCATCCTCGACCTTCGGGCCGATTCGCGGTTCGAAAGCATCCGTTTTCGCTTCCGTTCATCCATATTCGCGTACCTCGGGTCAGAATCCGACCCGGAACTCACCGGCTGCGATTGCTGCATTATAAATCACACAGAATTTCTACTAAATTCGGAAAATCACTTGTTTTCCTCAAAAAAAGGGGATTTTATTTGGGGGAAATCGGAAATTAGGGTTAGGGTTTGACGAAATCTAAAAATCTAGAACAAAAAAACCACCTAAATCTATGAAATTGAAACGATTAATTCATGAGAAAACGTAAAACCAGTAGAGGAAAACAACTGAAAATGAATGGAGAATTCGAATCCTCCGCATCTGGATTTGGTAGCTCATATAGGCTCGAAAAACATTGAATTGAATTTCAAACCATACACTCTATAATTGAAGAAACAAACCCTAGATCTTAAAAAACAAGAACAAATTGAAAAAGAAAAGAGGGAGAAATTTGGGGAATTTATGAGAGAATTGAAGAAAGAAGAAAACTGGAAAAGAGAGAAGATAAAAGACTTTATCTGAGAGAAGAAAACGCAAAGTAGGCAATGAAAGCAAAGAAAGGAGGAAAGAAGGTTTTGTTAAGGGTTATAGCTCGGTTTTTATAGAATTTTCAAGGCGTTTTTTCCCCTCTTTTTCTTGGAAGCTGCTTATCCTATCTTATTATTATACTACGTATTTTAGCTGTTAAGATCTTGCTGTCATCAAATTTTACCCTTAATCTACAAGAAAATTGCCTATTTAAAAAAATAATCTGATCTTATAAAATCTTATTATGTACAAGTATTCAATACTCCCTTCGTATTTTTTTTTTTTAAGTTAAAATGTTTTTCCTGTACACCGACACACACGTGATAATGTAAAACTTTGACCAGTTATATATATTTAAATATCGGTAAAAATTATAACAATTGAAACTTAATAAACTATTTATTAAGACGATTCCAACAAGAAAAATCAAAACGTTTAACCGAAAAAATTACGGAGGGGATAATTCTTATTTTTATTTGCGTTTATTTTTAATTATAATTGTCGTCAAAATAAAATTATAATTGTCAAATATTTTCATTTTGTAATAAAAGAAAGTTATGAAAGTTTTATCACAAATTCTTATATATATGTGGCTAATCACACAGGCTAGCTATAATATAGGTTACTTCGTTAATGTTATAGGGGTTATTCGGTCAGTATGTGTTATAGGTTAATCGATCGGTATTATAGGGGTTTCTTTTATTATTTTACAACCAGACACATGGTGTGGTCAGTCGCACACAAGACAACCTAAAATTTTATACCGGAGTACCATGTACTACGTATTTGTTTGGACAACTTTTATGATTTTAAACTTCTTGAAACATAATATTCTTAGTTTTTTGAGATTGTTATCCTTATCACATTATTTTATAAAAATTAGCTTTTATAATGAGATACTATTAATCATTGAATTTTTTGTCAATAAAATTGACTAAATGTATTTTAGATAAGGTTGAGTCTAATAAAAGTACTATTTTTATTTTACTTCCGTCGGTAATCGAAGCACCCTTCCCTTGGTTTGTTTGATTGGTATTATCTTTTTTTTTGTCAATTTAAAATATTTTGTTTTATATATATATTTTATTTTATTTATAAAGGTGGAGCACATTGGAATTTTTTATTTTTTTAAAAAAATACATTGGATTTTATTTTTTTTATACAGTGCTTCGGAATTATTTATGTGATGAGCACATTAGGTGGGGCCATGGATGTTAGGTGGGTAAGAAATCTTCCAATATGAGCAAGAAATACTCCGTATTAAAAATAAGAATAAGAAAGAAAATAAAAAAGAAAAAAAATGGTATATTTGGCAAGTTTTGGCTGGCAAATGGCCAAATGCCAAATGGTAGCATAGCATGTTGTATGACGTCAGCTTTCGTGCCTGCATTACCGTATATTCTACTTCAGATTCCTCTCTCTTTTTTTTTTTCTTTTTTTTTTTTGGGTAAGAAAAAAGGAACAAGGGGTGAACATTCCTTTTTTTTTTTATTGGTTTATTACTTTTCTTGATATACTCCGTAATTTACGTATTAGTCTTCTTAATCCAACATTTAAATATAGTTTACATGTTGGACATGTTTATCTTTTGGTAATGATGATATATTTCTCCATTCTATATTTATTTATTTATTTATTTATTTATTATGCAAAAGAGAGGTAACGTTTCGGGAAACAAACAAACTAAAACAAAAATAACAAAATAAAAGTACTCAATTATGTTGTTCTGAATTACTCCTTGATTCGCGAGTCGGTTGCCTTCTCTATAAACAAGCTTGATTTCAACCTTCCTGGCTGCCACTCCTCTTTCAATAGTAGCTCTTTGCATCTTAGAATGCTATGCACGCAGTCACCAAGGTAATCTTCATCTCTGGTCAGAATAGAAACTACAACTACTGCTTGGTTATCTGTAATTTTGGTACCTTCATACGCCAAGCAAGCTCTAGCCCATATTCCAAAGCACGCACCTCAACCTTGAAAGCATTACAGACCCCTATCCTCAGAGAGTAGGCATAGGCATAGCACATTCTTCCTGTATTCGCTCGAATTATTCCTCCCCCCAGGCTCAGGAGACCCTCTTGCTGCTCCATTTGAGTTAAGACAGACCCAGCTAGCTGTAGGAGCATTCCATCTAACATAGACTTGGTTATGTCTAGCAGCACCCACCTCCCCTGACACATCATTAAAACCCAGAGTGCGCCAAGTTTCTTCAAAGAAAAGGTAACACATCAATGGGTATTTCATCCGTTCGATCAAATACAACCATATTTCTCCACCTCCACAACCACCAAAGTGTGACAGCAAAATATGAAGGTCAAATTTCAGGAGAATGATCATTGCGAATTTGCACTTTGATGTTTCTAAACCATTGCTGCAGAGTACCCGTACGAAAACTTGAAGAGCTAGCAGGCCCTCCTATATGTCTCCAGACATCCCTAGCTGCTTTGCAATCTCTTAACACATGCAAGACTTTTTCATCCATCTCAGGGCATAATTTGCATCATGTTTCATCCATTCTTTATTGATTATAGCTTTTTATTTATTTATTTTAAGTTGTTAAATAATTATGATATTGGTTTGATTGGAGTTTTCGACAACGATTCTCTCTATTTATATCCTTATCACATTATTCTCTTATCTCAAAAATATATCCATGTTGTAATTACCAAAATGTAGATATAGTCAAGCCATTAAACATTAATGTGGTAACACATTTCTATAATCTACTTAGAAAAATCTAAATTTGATAACATTTACATAATGTTTGGTAAGATTATGCATGTAATTAGATCACAGACGGATTTGACTTGATAAATTTTTTTCTTCTCTTGGTTCCTTACGTAATCCTAAAGCATAAATGTTGTAAAACTATTTTTCTGTCTATGTGCATTTAACGTGTGAGTAGAAATTTGATGCAAATGAGCAAGACTTTCACCGAACCCACCTCAACTCTGATTATGTTTGATTATAGTATATGAGATTGCATTTGAAGTACTTTTTCCCTTGCAATTTTTTCACCACTCAAGCATGTTTGTTTTTTTATTAATAAATAAAAGCATGTATAAATTGAAACTTATTCAACACTTGAATGTACTAAGAGCCTTAGACTATAATGTGAAATATAGGGCAAAAAATCCATTGATACCTCTAGACAAAACTTACTAGTATAAACAAGCTTACAAAAATTACATATTTTACTGACAGACCGACCTAATCGTATGAGAATTTGTAAAATCGAGTGGAAGTCATTAAATGCATCCAATTGAACAAACTAAACTATGGGGCCTAGCTCCTACGGGAGTTATAAGCATTAGATTAGCCCAATATAAACCCAAACCAACCACAAGAACAATTTATCAGCACAACTCACCAAACGACGTCGTAACACAAACACACATACAATTCTCTCTCCTCATTTCCAGATCAAAAGACCTCAAATTTCAGTTAGAAAAACTCCTGCTCAATTTATTTTTACTCCCAACTCTCCAAACATTCATCACACTCAATCCCCAATTTAATTATCAAAAGACTTGTAAAAAACCCTAATTGTTTCAAACTTTGTAAACTCAGATTCACGATTCGATCCCAAAAAATTCAAATTATACAAATTAATTGTACAGAAAAATGGCGGCAGATGATGTGCCATTGGATGATAAATCGAAGAGAATGAGAGATCTGTTATCGAGCTTTTATTCGACGGATCAATCAACTTCAGGAGCTAATTCAAATGCAGTATCTTCGAAGTATGCTACATTGGATACGATTAATTCCCCTTCTTTTGATCCTGACAACTACATGAATCTATTGGTACTTTCTCTCTCCTAGTTTATTTCTTGAAATTATGTTTTTAGTTTTTAGTGCGTTTAGTTTGGTTGATTTAGCTTCTTTATTGATGGAATCAGTTTTGTTTTATAAGTATTTTAATACTTAGCTGTGTAATGTGTGCTAATTAAGTGGGTGATTTGATTATGTTTTGATTTTGGCTTTCGGAGTTGTTGATCAATGAGTTAGAAGATACTACGTATTTTATTTACGAAGTATTTGGGGGTTGACATTGAGAATTTGAGCCGACAGTCGAGTCGGCTAGCTGATTGTAGTTGGGAGGTAGATGATGTCTGATGTAGAGGTGATTGTAGACTAATGCAGTAGCATAGTAGTAGATAAAACCCACACAAAAGTCATTACGATGTGCTAAAAAGAGAAGCAGCTTGGCGTAGAGATATGGACTCCTACTTGATCACTTCACAGGTGGGACTGTAGGGGAATGGCAAAATTTTGTATACCAACAGGTGTATCGGAGTGCAATAGGGGAGGCTACCCTAACTTAGGTAATATTCAACTCCGGAAAAGATTGAAATTTATGTGATGTACTCCCCTTATATGATAGAGTATAAAACATATTCCCGGGCCACAATCATCAGCTTAAGCTTTTGGTTGAGTTGGTCCTCTAACATGGTATAAGAGTCTGCGTGACACAAAGGTCACGGGTTCAAATCTCATCCACCCCCACTTTCAAGTGGAATATTTCCACACTTCAAGGGCTCTTGTGTGAGGGGGTGTGATAGAGTAAAACATATTCCTGGGAAGCTTTTGGTTGAGACCAGGAATATGTTTTATACTCTATCACTCGGTTTAGTTTAGATAAATTTTGAATAGTTTTGAACTTGTACGGTTATTTACATGTTTTGTGTACATTGGGAAGGGGCACAGTGTTGTTCTTTGCAGTTTGGACCGTTGGGATTGTATTAATAAAAACTTGTACTTAGTTGACTACTTTTGTGGGGAATTTTGATACCTGTATGTTTGCCCCATTAACATTTAGGCATCATGTTGGTAAATTATAGGAATCTTTGAGAAGGGGATTGGTCAATTGGCATTTGTTCGCCATTGAGACAAGAAATAAAGACAATGAGAATGAGAGAGGGGCAGAGGGACCTATAAAAACATGGGAGAAATTGTGGACGCATGTTATAATTTTTTAAATTTCAGGATATTTGTAGCCACATTTCATAATCTCAATTTATTATGACAATGTTGAGAAAAGGAAATGAGGTAAATTTGTTCCTACTTGTGACTGTGTAG